GTCTTTGAATGTGTTGTTTGTGTGGGTGGGTGGGCGGATGGATGGTTGTATGCGTACATGTTTATCATCTTAAAATATATACAGTTGATCACTATTGAAAACGTGAAAGCATTGAATAGCCGTTTTGTCCTATTGTGAGACTCCTCAACAGTGCGCATCCACAACCCCTCTCGTAGGATTCAAACCCAGAACATTCGGTTTTGCGAGCAAACACTTAATCTCTACACCAATAGGTTGGCATCCAAAAGTGTTAATGTCTAACCTCAACCGATTCACGAATTTGCAAGACCATCTTCCATTGTACTGAGTTAGATACATGTTTCTACCCGGAACGGATTAGCTCCACTGATTACGGCTTCTCACTAGAACTCCGAGAATTCCCTCACGAAGTTAGTTACTAGTACGTACATGGCAATTATCAGTATAGAGTTGTGGAGATTATTAAGTTTTTGATTGAGATCACCAATCGATTGATGTTAAACTTAGAAGCACTGGACGGCCATTTCGTCCTATTATGGGACTCCTCAACAATCAGCATTCACGATCCCTCTCATGGGAGTCGATGAAGTTTTGTTCTGTGAACTGAATGGTTTTGATGAGTGAGATATGGCAACTTGTACCGATGCATATATGTGCCTGGTCCTACGTTGTAGCTGACTGACTGACTGACTGACCATGGAAAACCTGGAAAAACTGGATGGCCGTTTCGTTCTGCTATAGGACTTTGATCATTCTTCTGAATGACATTATCAGTATAAGCTTTAGGTAGATGGGAAGTGTATTCGTATTTCTACATATATGACTATCAAATTATCCTGTAGACTTCAATCTTAATTGGTTATTGTGTTCTTATATCTCTTTGTATTATAATATTTTCTTTAATTTATTTACATCTAAATTAATGCATATTCATAATATCAATGTCTTCAATAATATAAATGGTAGTAATAATTATAAGGATTTACATAGTTGTATTTAATTTGTTAGAATTACTTACTTACTCCTGTTAACCCTCGTGGAAGAACATAGTCCGCCCACCTGTACTCTCCATCCAACCTTGTCCTGGGAAATCCTTTTCAGTTACTATTTATCCTTTTCATGTTTGTTTCCAATTCCCGACGTTACTATAATAAGTTAATTATAATGATGTCAAATGTAAAAGCTTTCATTGAATGTGATCTATGCAAAGATAATCAGTTGCTCATATATACACATTAACAAATATTAATCAATGATTTAGAATTAAATGAATAGCTGATAAGAAATTACAAGTTTTAATAATAGTCAAAAGAATGTTAAGTGGTGTTCTGACTACTACTTATTTACTTACATCTGTTAATCCTCATAGAGGAGCATAAGCCATCAATCAGCATTCTAAATCAAACTGTATCCTTGACATTCCTTTCCAGTTGTCATTCATCTTTTTCATGTCTACTTCCAATTCTTGACTCAATGTGTTCTTTCAACTTACTCTTTTCTATTTTCTTTCAAGATTTCAAATTAGGACTTGCTTCATGATGGAGTTTGATGACTTCCAATTGTAGTTCTTCTAGATTTACTACCGATCCCAAGCCCGGGTAAAACAGAAAGGTTGAGTATGAGGTTAGCGACCTCATCTCGTAGAAAACAACCTTACCACACACAAAAAAAAAATCACTAACCAGAATAAACAATCAATGGAAAAAGATCAGAATAGATTATCACAATAACAAAATATCCACTGATAGAATATTGAATACAATGAAACAAATATTGAAAAAAATTTATATCTAACCCTTGAATATTTACACATGACTTAAGGTTAGGATTTGTTTATTCATTATTAATGTAATCATAATTTAGATTAAAGGTGGACTTGTTTAGAGATTGACTCTAAATGACATTTTAGATTTATGCTAAAAGCTTTTTAATAATCACATTTGTCATTAATCAGATTAACAAAATAGAATTCTACAATCCGTTATTAATCAATGTCCAACTTACCTTGTTTGACTTGGTGGTAATGCCGAGACAATCAGATGAATATATATATATATATACATATAAAGAGAGAGAGAGAGGGGAGGGATTAAGCGCTTACTTGCGAGACTGATACATCCTGGGTTCGAACCTCGCGAGACGGGATCGTAGATGTATACGGTTGATGAGTCGAAACGGTTTATGAGATAATAGACTACATAGTTAAAGCCTATAATATGGTTTAATGTCGTTTGGTAACTGAACTCATTATTTATATTGATGAGATATACACTATTGAGGAGTCACGTACTGGTACAAAACAACGGTTTAGTGTTTCCAAGTTTTCAATGGTGATCTAAATTGATCCATTCATGATCACAATTAAAGCTTAAAAATCTTTACAACCCTATAGTGATCTACCAGTAAATACGAAGTAATTATTATTATCAATTTTTATCCTCTCGATTTCTGTGATATTAGAAAAATCGGATGACAGTTATATCTGATGATTATCGTTATAATTTAGTTATTTTTCTAGTCTGGATTATGTGGATGCGTACTGTTGAGGAGTCCCACAGTAGGACGAAACGCCCTTCCAGTGCTTTCAGGTTTTCCATGGTGGTCTAGCTTCAATTGACTCATGATCTCAACTATTAAATTAGTAAAATCTCCACAAAGCCCCTTCTCATATTAATCATCGTATGTTCACTAGTGACTGGTTTAAAGAGGTAGTTCATGAAGTTCTAGTAAGAAGCCGTGGTCAATGAAGTTCAACTGTATCTGTTGTGTGATAGTAACTCACTGAGGACAATGATGAACGATGGCTAAATTTCATAAATTGTTTGAAGTTAGACATTAACACCGTTGGATGCCGGCCAGCTCAGTGGTCTATAGGTCAAACGTTCAAGCACGAAACCAATAGGTCCTGCGTTCGAATTCCGTGCGGCAGGATCTTGGATGTGCATTGCGACTGAGGAGTCCCACAACAGAACGAAACGCCCGTCTAATGCTTTCAGGTTTTCCATGGTGGTCTATCTTCAATTAATTCATGCTCTCAACTGTTAAAATATATATACATACATTATATTACATAATATACATAAAAGCATTTTCCCAATTTCTCGGATTGTTTAATACAGTATAAAAATATATATATCGAAATAATGGAATCTTACATATTTATTATTTATTTATTTATTTTAACACATAGATATTGGTACAAAGAGGCACCAAATACATATGCGTCACACAAATCTCATTTGATATGTATGAGGGCTGTGATACTGCCCGGGTGCCCAAACCGAAGCAGGTGTTTCTCTTAGGGGGCCACACACGGAGCCGTCGACCTGAAGGTCCGATCCACAAGACAGTGGAGCAATGTAAGGAGATACAGTCTCATGGAAGCCAGTCACCAACAATTGGTTCATACGCCATTTATTCCCGCAGGATCCTGGAACCCATGTGCACCATTGGTTTTGGATCTGGTTAAAGCGCTGGACATTCTCTTTTCGTCATATCGATTTCGTGAATAACACTCCCGACACAAGAAATCAGTGAGTTGGACTTCCCTTGCAGAGGCTACATACGCATGGCCATGTGAAAGCATTTGGATAGTGAGAACGAACTCTCCTCACTCTTAGCCATACCAGGGCATTTTGAGGGCTTTCATTCTTACATAAATGATCTCGATTATTTAACCGAAAATTCTTTACAGCAAAAAAACACCGTGTGTGTGTGTGTGTCCATTAGAGAGAGAGATAGTGATAGTGATAGAAGGTGAATAGATAATGTCATCCCTTTATTTTTTTGGTTTCTGATCATTTTTTTTTACAAATTACACCACCACTCTTCCATGATACATATGTATTGGATTAATCATTTTTCATCACTCTCCCTATTGTTTTTTTTAAAAAAAAAATATGTTTATGATTATTGAATCAACCAATCAAAGTTCAGATTGATAGTATCCAATTCCTTTTACTCATTTGTGATTGGTTGATATAACAAAAAAAAATAATTTTTTTTGGATTGTAGATGTGGTCGACGTGCTCATTTTGAAAAAACAAAAAAAATTATGTATAAAATTTTTTTTTTAATTTTTTTTTCTCCCGGTTTTTTTCTCTACAAATACGTGATTAAATGTTGTGTGTTTTTTAGGTGGGTGGGGGGGGGAGAAAAAGACTTGTATTTTTGATGGTAAAATTAAGATTTATTATATATATATATATATATATATCCCCTTTAATTAATCGATTGATAGATAGACATATCTTTTATAGACATATCTAGATATATACAGGTAGCATATTGTAAGCCACGTGTGTATATATGCATAAAAACAATACACAAAAGAAAAATTAGTCTCAGCTGAACTCATCATCATCATTTTCCTAGACGTATCTATTAAGTTATAGAAGATAAACTACGTATTTAACCCCTGTCTAATAATATTACTATTATTAACAGTTAATAGTCATATAGGAGTTGTGTATGTCAAGGTGATTTGTAAATAGACACACACACACACACGCATACATACATACATATACATATAAATACATATGTATGTATATCATTATATATATATATAAACATACAGCTCTAGGGCACAAAATATATCATTGGTTTATCTATGTTCTACCTCTAGACTTCCCAATCTGTCAACTATAAATTGTCAAATCATACAATGATTTCCTCATTTATTTTAAATGTGTAACATCGTCTAGTCTCTTAAGTGATTTTTGTTATTCAATCAAGAAATAACAAAAGAAGACGAAGAGAAACTAGAAACAAAAAGGAACAGAATTGAACACATACATTTATATATATACAAATGTATATAGATGTAGTTAATTCCATATCGAATGTATAATATCATTACTTTATCATCTTCAATTCATTCCAAGAAATATTGTATTCAATTCATGATTTACCACTGTGCTTTCAGTGAATAAACAATTACACATATATCATATCCATCTATCTATCTATCTATCTATACATAATATATTGAACATAGTAACAAAAATAAGAAAACAATTATGTGGATGAAAGATTGTGATCAATGTTCTACAGCAAAACTTGGAGGTTTACAAATATGGATGCAACATTTAACTGATGAACATGCAATACCAACTGAATGGCCTAGTGATAGAGCATCACGTTTAACTGGTTCTAATGCATTACGTCCATATACAACAATAGCTGAATCTAAAAAGAAACGTAGAAAAGATAGTATACCAAGACCATTGAATAGTTTTATGGTAAGTTATTATGAATAATATATGTATATATGTATTTATATAATTTAATATTACTTATCTAAGTTTAAGGATTGATATTTTCTATAAGAATAAATATAGTAGACAAGTTAATTATCTTGATAAGAAGATTAGATTAAAGTTGTTGATGGAGTTTTGTCCTCTGAGCTGGATGATTTGGTCGTGTTCTGATGTGTGTGTCCTTTGTAGCTTCATCTTTTGGTCTTCTATGATGTGTTGGTATTTGTGAATTCTGTAGTGTACATCCGTTATCATTAGGTGTACCATTTTTTTTCTCTCACTTTGCTCAACTATTTTCCATCCTAATGGGAAGTTGATTGGTAGTCTATATCTTACACTTGTTGGTAGAACATGCTAGCGAAGACATTCATAGAGAAAATATATAGTTGTTCTCAAGTGGAAGCTTGCCTTTTGGCGAAATTCTGCCATTTTCGAACAACGAGAAGCGTATTACTCTCATATTATGATTTTGAGATGGTGGAGAATATTTGTACCTCAGGTGGATGAATGATTTTGATGGAGTTTTGTTCTCTGAGCTGACACGATCAAACCATTCAGCTTAGAGAACAAAACTCCATCAAAATCATTCACATGAGCTACAAATCTTCTCCACCATCTCAAGATGAAAGTTGTAAATAGGGATCATAAAATTGAATCATTTGTTCTATTTCAGAATCAGATGATTTCAAATATCAGGGAAAGTAGTAATCATACCTTTATCACTTCTTATTTAACAATGTGAATACAGATAGTCTATAGAGATCGTTTTTATCAAAATCATATTATGAACTGATCTTAGTTAAACCAATATTAGAAACCAGACAGTATTGGATAACTGTTTCATCTTAATATGAAACTCCTGAATAACGTCTATCTATAATGCCTGTACAGGAAATCGAACTCAGGATCTTAGAACTCCCTTGTGAATGCCTAACTTCGAGATCACTGAATAAAACTCTATACTTACTATAATGACGGTATTTTAACGAAAACTACAACATTGTGCTTTTACAACATATGTTTCAACTCATTTGCATAACTGTTCTCAATGAAATCTATTCAGCTCTTTTTTTTGTTTGGTTAGTTAATGAAATTCACATGTCAATGAGGTAATATTTACTATGAATATAATCGTCATCATCATCATAAGTGTCATTGCATAGTTTATTATTATCATCATTATTATGTTAACAAGGTATTTCAATGATTAATTGAATCACATTTAATATGATAAAATAGTAGTCAAGACATTTTGTAACTAACATGAAAGAATATGATAAATAGATTAGATTCATCAAAGATTCATCTCATTTTAGAAACATGGCACAAGTTCATGAAGTCATTGACAAGTGGACTGAGTCATATTCGTAGGTGTAGACTATTTGGTTAGGGACCGCGAGATAATAGCAACCAATAGTTAGAGACCCTGAATCACATCGCTCAAAATCGTTTGCAATAGCGCAGGTACATCCATTCCTTGTGTTCTTCCAAATTCTAATCTTCTGAATTCTTCCTGTTCCTTTATTTTTCTCTCTTCCCAAATTTATTTCACTCGATTATACTCTTTAAATGACATCTCCAAACCCTAAACTTCCCGATTACTGCTTATACTCTTATTACTTCTACCACTATGGGATTTGAATCGACCACTGCATCTCTATGCTAATGTGGTATGGCAACTCGAACTGATGTATGTATATACGAAGTTCTACATTGTTACTGACTGACTGACTGACATCTCATTTTAGGGCACCAAAAAAAAGAATAACAAAGACTGACTCTAGATAACTTTTCAGTTCAATCGTTGAACATCTTCAACAGGATGAATACTTTCGACCTAGTTAGAGAAATTATCATTTTGACTTGTTAATTTCATGTTGTCTATATATATATATATATTACTTACTTACTTACGCCTGTTACTCCCAATGGAGCATAGGCCGCTGACTAGCATTCTCCAAACCACTCTGTCCTCCGCCTTCTTTTCTAGTTCCATCCAATTCTTGTTCATTTTTCTCATGTCTATTTCCATTTCACGGCGTAATGTGTTCTTTGGTCTTGAGAATTCCATGTGAGGTCTTGTCTTGTGACGCAGTTGGGTGCTTTCCCCAATGTGTGTCCTATCCACTTCCAACGCTTCTTCCTGATTTCTTCCTCCACTGGGATCTGGTTTGTTCTCTCCCACAGTAGGTTGTTGCTAATAGTGTCCGGCCAATGGATCTGAAGTATTTTGCGTAGACATTTGTTAATAAACACCTGTATTTTCTGGATGATGGTTTTCGTAGTTCTCCAGGTTTCTGCCCCATACAGTAGAACTGTCTTGACATTTTTATTGAATATATATATAAGAATTCTATGTTGATTATGACTGACTAACATAAAGATTTCACTGATTCATTTGAAGAAAACACTTCAAGTGATTCAATATAGTCAATAAGAATTAAGGAGGAATTGTTGACAGTTTTATAATCTTTGCTACTGATCTTAATGATGATTAATGTTGGGACTATAGAATGAGCAATAATGAAGTTAGCTCAAGAGTGTTGACCAAATATGATAAATTCATGTCACATATATTCAATCATCGTCTATCTCGATTTGCAGTGTAGACTGAAACTGGAGTAACTTAGAAGAAAGCTAATGAGATCAAAACTAAACATATGGTATCCGTTTATATGGTCATTAACCAATAGTTCGACATATATTCGTAAGTGAAAACAATCTGATTGGGTCATGCGCTAGAACCGCATTTAGTAGTTAAAGATGCTGAGTAAACTTGACTTGAAATTCATTGCAATGAGCCTGAAATTCAAAAAGTTAAATCTTTCTTCTCTAGTCGTAATCTCTATATCTAATCTTTCTTATAATCACTGATACGTCAACTGCAACTATTACTGTCTGAGTTTTCATCTTCATCATTTTATGTCATAATGCAGATGTAACTCAACAACTTGGACTGTCCCAGTTGTGTATTAGATCTTACATTACTTATGATTGACTGATTTATTAACCTTGGTAGCATAGTCGCCATCATGACTTATCTTAAATTCACTTGGTATTGTTTATTTGAATCTTTCCATTGATGTTTAAGACTGCAGTTTGTCGGTCTCCTATTGGCAGATGTTCATACTGTGCGTATGCCACCATATTGTCTTAATTCACAAGCATTATAAGCAAATATGGATAGTGGTTAGCAGTGAGATCTAGGATATAGTTTTCGGTCTATTTGAGATTGTATCACTCTGGGACTCGAACTCAGAGTGAACATCAAAAACTGATATGGAAAATCATCAAATTTTCGTTGTTGTAGACATTTACTTAAAGATGAAACTTGAATTTAGGAAAAAATCACTTTTCTAGGGTATAACAACAAATAATTGAATTGATCTAAATGATCATATTTCACATTTTTACCATAGAAAATAAATCAAGGTTTTGATAGACTGATCATTATTATCAGATGGGTTTTTGTGGAGATTGTAGTAATTTCAATGGTTAAGATCATGAGTCAGTTGAAGCTAGAACACCATGAAAAACCTGGAAGCACTGGATGGCCGTTTCGTCCTATTGTGGGATGCACTGCTGAGGAGTCTCATAATAGGACGAAACGGCCGTCCAGTGCTTCCAGGTTTTCCATGGTGTTCTAGCTTCAACTGACTCATGATCTTAACCATTGATCATTATTAATCATAGTAATTAATGAATGATGACTAAACTTAAGATAAACCGATATATAAGGAATTCATTTATCATATATAGAATTATGTATTTGGCTACAAATCATACACTAGTATGTTACTATCCAGTTGTCTAAACTTAAAGTAAACAGAAAACTATTCGAACGTGGGACTTTATGTTTGAAAGTTGAATATGACTATAGAGACAGCGATCTTGAATGTTGTTAAAGGTATGAAGGTAATTATCACTTCCTGATTACCTATACCATTGAAGGGTTCTCTTAAAGGTAATTTGAAAAAAGAAATTAACTTAAAGTTGATCATAGAGAACATCTTAAACACCAATCCATTATACTAAAACCATTTGTACAGTTTTTATTCAAAACGAAAATGAGAATTTCTAAGAATATTTTTTTTAAGATTTCAATGATTGAGATCATGAATCAATTGAAGCCAGATCACCATGGATGTGTCACTCAATTTCATGGATTAGTTGAAGTTAGACATTAACACCATTGGATTTCGGTTAACTCAGTAGTCTAGAGGTTAAGCGTTCACATGCCCGAGGCCGATAGACCCTGGGTTCGAATCTCGCGGAGGGGGGGGCAGTATCGTGAATGCACACTACCACTGAGGAGTCCCACAATAGGATGTAACAGCCCTCCAATGCTTCTAGGTTTTTCATGGTGATCTAGTTTGAAATTGACTCATGATCTCAACCATTGAAATTATTATAATATTCACAAAAACCCCTTCTGATATGAATATTTTTTCTTAATTGAATCAATTTGTTCATTCACAAGTTGTTGTTTTTTTTCTATTTATACAATAATTTATTGATCTGGATACATTAAAATCAATATTCCCATTGATAATGGTGAGAAGATCTTATTCCCTCCTTCCATTTTTCTTTTCGTTTTTTTTCTTTTTAAAATAGAAAAGTCACACATAAAACAAAAACAATAACACCCCCCCCCGTTTTTTTATCATTATTTTTATTATCATAGTCGTCAGTCCTCTTCAGTCATTAATGTTATTCCCTTATTCCCTTTTTTTTAAAAAACAAACAACATAGCAACTAATTTTTCATTTTCACCCTATTGATTTAAAAAATTAAAAAAAATTTTTTTTTCTTCTTCGCTTACATCATTCATCAAGTAGATTCTGATGTTGCTGTTGTTGTTGTTCTTTTTTTTTTTAAATTTTGTTTTTCAATCTCAATAATTAAAATTATACTTAAGTGAATTTTAGTTTATAATCGATATTATTGAATTTAATCAATCAATCAATCAATCAATCAATCAA